GGCAAACAGGAAATTCTTGTCATAGTCATAAAAGATGTAACTTGATAACAGCACTTTTGATACTCTGACATAGATGGAAACTTGAATGTATTAATTAGAACACGTACTTTCAGGAAAGGTGGGAATGATTTTAGATGCAGTGGCATGTGTCATAACCATCTATCTTGCCCACCATTCAATCAGTAAACTTTAGATTAATATAACGCATGTGGCTGCCTTTATAGTTTATAATGGTTTAATCTCAAATGGATTAGCAGCCAAGCTTTCATTTAAACAGGTTAAAAGTTAGTTTATTACAAGTTATAACTGAACATTCCTTTAGGATACAGAGATTAAGTTATTCACTAGAAATCACAGTTATTGAGACTAAAACCATTACAGATCAGACACAAGCACATTTATAGGGTGAAAATCCCAGTAAGTCTCTGTGGTAAACTGTTGAGGCTCATTACTCGAATTCTTTGTTGCTGAAACAAAGCTGTTAACACTTGAAATTAGATCCAGCAGCTATGCCATAACCGGTGATTGAATAGGTAGTATCCTTGGGATTCTCCTTAGCCCTTCTGGCCAAAGATATTTCATAGCCTGTTTTAGCCCTCCTAACATACGATTTGAACTCCTTCTACTTTCTCTGTATTCTTCAAGGATTTTGTCTGTTTTTAGTTGCCTAAACCTTAGGTATACATTTTTTTGACTAAGCCAATAATTTCCCATGTCATCCAAGGTTCCCACATCCTACCACTCTTATCCTTCATTTTTACAGCAACATGCCTGACCTGCACTCTAATCAATTGGTCTTTAAAAGACTCCCACATGTCAGATGTGGATTTCATCTCAAACAGCTGCTCCCAGTCCACATTCTCCAATTCTTGCCTAATGCCGTTATCCCCAGTTTATTACCTTCATCCGAGGTCCACTCTTGTCCTAATCCACAAGTATCTAAGAACTTATGGAATTACGGTCACTATTCTCAAAATGCTCCCCCACTGAAACTTTGATCACCTCGCCAGGGTCATTTCCCAATACTAAGTCCATTATGGCCCCATCACTTATTGGACTGCTTCAAAAAAACCCTTCTGTATCCACCTAACAAATTGCTCTCCATCCAAACTCCCTGCATTACTCCACATTCAAATCTCAAAAGAGAGACTTTTAGAGTGTACCTCATCCTGAGAGACACAACATCAAAGTTGGAGACCTTTAAATTGGCAACTGTGGCATTTAAAAAGCTGATTACCTCAGCTAAAAGATGGTACCTGAGTTCAACCCCAAGGCGTGAACTAATCAACCTCATGCTAGTAAGGACTACAAAACTGTCTGGAACAGGCACCCTCACACATTGAAACTGCAAAAAAAAAATTACTGTACATATATCTTACAATAGAGAGCTCCAAGAAAGAGGCTCCCTCTCATTCCCAATGTATTCAGTGACGCCTCCTGCACCTTCTGAGGCAGTGAGTTCCAAAGTCACACAACCCTCTGACAGAAAAATATCCCAAAAGAGTGACTCCAATTTTAAATTTTAAAGTAATGACCTCCTAGTTCTGGATTGACCCACAAAAAGAAGCATATTTTCCATATTCACCTTGTCAAGACCCTGCAGGAGCCTTATACACTTAATCAAATTACCCCTCACTCTTCTAAACTTCAGTGGAAACAAGCCCAGGCTGTCCAGTGTATCCCACATAACTCATTCCTTTCAGTTATTAATCTAGTAAACCTTCTGTGAACTGCCTCCAGCTAATTTACAACCTTCTTTACATAAGGAAATTAAAACTGCTCACAGTATTCAACATGTGGCCTCATAAATGCTCAGTACATCCTTATTTTAATGTTCAATTCCTCTTGTAATAAATTATAGCAACCAATTAGCTATCTTGATTCCCTGCTGTACCTGCATAGTAACCTTTGCGACTAATGTATCAGAACATCTAAATCATTTTGCGCTTTGGAATTCTGAAATCATTCTCTATAAGACATTATACTATAAGACATCTGACAGATTTTTGGTGACTTACTCACTCAGTCTATCTATATCCATGTGAAACTTATATAGGCCTACTCCCTGTCTGTCTTGATGTTGTCAGTGAATTTAGCTACCATGTTTTTGGCCCTCTCATCTAAGTCATTTATACAAAATAAGAATGTTGAGGCCCCAGTACAAATACCTCCAGCATTCCATTTGTCACATCTGCCAATTAGACAGAGCCATTTGTATATATTCCCTGTTTTCTGTCAGCTGGCCAATCTTCCATTTATTTTTGATTTGTTTTCCACAATAACCTTTGATGTGGCCCCTTATCCCCTTCTGGAAAGCAGTCTATATGTTCCCTTTTATTCACAGCGCATTTTACTCCTTCAGGGAACTCCAATAAATTTGTTAGGCATGATTTCCCTTTGATGAAACCAGGCTGCCTTTTCCTGTTTACCTTGAGATTTTCTGTACAGAGATAATGTACAGCGATAATCCTGACAATAGTGTTGTTTTCTATATTTTGCTGTTTTCTTCCTTCCTCTCTTCTTGAATAGAGCAGTTATATTAGCGACTTTCCTGCATGATGGAACCTTTCCTGAATGTAATGATTATTGGAAAATTAACACCATTGCATCTTCTGCCTAATTAGCAACCTTGGCTACATATTCTTGTATGAGGGTGTGGTTCCCGACTGATCAGATAGTGCCTTACAGTACACACTTGCAAGAGTCTTGCCCATTGTGGTTGTCCACTGCACTATCCATAGCACTTCCCTCTACAGAATTTTGAACTTTGGATGAAGTCTGGAATTACACAACTCTTCGGAGGAAGTGGAGGAGCAAGATGCAACAAAAGGAGGAGTAAGAGGCAACAGAGGGAAGGTTCAGAATAGGGAGGTGCTCAAGCATGGGGGGAGACTTGAGGATTTTGTCAGGATACCATCAAATTAAAAGCTCACTTAATTCAGATTTGTGAGCTAAGAGCTTCTGACTCAAAATGTGTGGAATAGTATGGTGCTCAATCTGGTCTGTGTGGGCGAACATATCTATTGAAGATTCAGTCTAGAACATGTAAACACTTACAGTCAATGAAGAAACAGATCTTCTCAGAGGCTGCACCATCACCAAAGACCAATCGTTGCTCTCTGTCACCACTTCACACCACTTCCCTGTTTTGTCATTAACAAATCTAGTTTCAAATGCCAGTTATGTGTTAGTCAGAAAATGCGAGGTTACCGAAAGAAGACATCCAATGGGGCGTTCCACTCCCGAACATCCCAGATGTCCTCCCATTTCAAGGACCGTAACATCCCCCCTCCGGTGACCAAAAATGCCCTCAACCGCATCTCTTGTGTTTCCAGCACCTCTGCCTCACATCCACTCCCCCCAACAAAAATAAAGACAGAATCTCCTTTGGTCTCACATATAACCTGACCAACCTCCGCATCCAATGTATCATTCTCTGCCACATTCGCCACCTACAATCTGACCCCACAACCAGAGATATTTCCTTCCCCACTCCTATCTGCCTTTCATAGGGACCATTCTCTCCACAACTGCCTCATCCGCTCCACACTCCCCACTAACCCCACCACCCCTGGCACCTTTCCCTGCAACTGCAGGAAGTGCTACACCCGCCCCTACACCTTCCCCTCGCCTCCTTTCGAAGCAAAAAGCAAACCTTCCACATTGGACAGGGGTTCACCTGCACATTCATCGACTTGGTCTGTTGTGTCCGCTGCTCCCTATGTGGCCTCCTCTACATCAGTGAGACCAAGCGGAGACTTGGAGACCGTTTTGTAGAGCATCTGCGTTCTGTTCGTGACAGTGACAACACCTTCTGGTCGCGAACCATTTTAATTCCCCCTCCCACTCCCTGGGTGATATGTCCATCCTGGGGCTCCTCCAGTGTCACAATGACACCACCCACAAACTGGAGGAGCAGCACATCATATTCCATCTCGGGATCCTACAGGCCGATGGCCTAAACATGGATTTCACCAGTTTTAAAATCTCCTCATGCCTGGCCTCATCCCATGTCCAACCCTCCCTCTCATCCCCATCTCCTTGACTTGACACAACCTGTCCATCTTCTCTCCCACCTATCCACCCCACCCATCCGACTAACCAATCCCCACCACTGCCTACCTGCACTCACCTATCACCATCCCACCTACCTTCCCCAATCCCTCCCCTCCTCTCTCGATTTATTTCTGAGCTCCCTTTCCCCTCCCCCATTTCTGAAGAAGGGTCCAACTTTCCTGCTCCTCTGATGCTGCCTAGCCTCCAGCATCTTCCGTTCTTGCTATCTCCCAATGAACTATTCAATGCTTTGTATGATGTAGCATCCAGCTTCAGACCAAGCAATGCTCCCTTGTTTCAGATGAGTTGGAGTCAACCTGGTGAATTTCTATGCTTGTAACTTTGATGCACGTAGTGACTGTCTTTGTTGTGGAGGAGATGTGTGGGCATCACTTGATGTTGTTGCATCTGAATTATTGCAGGAACGGTACAGTTCAGAGTCAATCACATAAATCATACAGACCAGATTGGACAGGGATGGCAGATTTGTGGCGTTCTATGGTAATTTGATAGTTTCATGGGGCTAGCTTTTATTACTGATATATTAATCAATTTAAATTCCCCTAGCAGTCATGGTAGGATTTGAACTTCTGTTTTTGGACCATTAATTTGGGTTGCTGGTTTACTAATTTAGTATGTTTGTAACTGTGCTATAATTCCCTATTGTTTTAAATCATTTAGTACCAAGATAGGATGAAGTTTTTGCTTTCTGTCTGTCAGATGTTGGCAAGTCTGCCTCATCACTTGAGTGACCAACAACAGCTGTGACTGCTCATGGAAATGATGTGCAACATCGTCTTGTGTTGCATTTTCCGGGCAAGGAAGAGAGTTTTTTAAAAAATTAGCCAACGTTTTCATTGACAAGTTGCAAAATTAATGAAGGGGAAATGGTGGGAGATAAACCATGCCAAAGAGGTGGATTTTAAAAATATTGTTTGGTTCAGGTTGGAGGAACAGCTCAATATTTTTCTAGAAGACACTGACCCCGAGGCCTCACTCGAAGTTGGAGCTGACATGAGGAAGATTCAGCACTGTTTCCAGCGATTGAAGGTAAGTGTGTGTGGATTTTAAATTACATCCATTGACTATAACTCTTAATGCTCTTGTTAAATGGTCTGTAACATATGAGTATTGTTGCAAGTTGGTCATTTCCAGTGAGTGACATCAATGTTTGGCAATACAAAGTAATACCAAATTTTCTAAATCATTAAGATATATGTTAAAGTTTGGATAGTATTGGTATAGCATTATTAGGTGTCAATTGTACCAAAATTTTGTTTCCTTTTTTTTAATAACCTTTTCTTTAGATTCAAAGGCCAGTGTCCAAAATGGCGCATGAAACTATTCTTTTCATCTGAAAAATGTCAATTCTCTTGAAGGGTGGCATCACTGCCAAACCTAATGTTGCCTCTTGCGGCATTTGTATGTGCCCACTTTCTAGTGAGATTTCTGGAAGGCCACAAAGAGCAGGAACTCAAGTTATTAATCTCCTGTCCATAGCCCAAGAACACAGAGTCTAATTGTAACATGGTTACCGCTGTTGTGGCTAAAGTCAGCTATGCCTATCCCATTGCCCAAAACAGGAACCTTCCCGAGATGGATAAGCTTGAGCCTACTAGGCCCGATGGGAAAATTTAAACTCCTGACTGGAAATCTCAGCAGATACATGGATTCCTTGCTCCGTGAGCCTAAGTAGAGGCCCACTCTAATGGCCGGGCTTTAGAATCATAGAATCCCTACACTGTGGAAGCAGGCCGTTCAGCCCATCGGTCCACACCAACTCCCTGAAGAGAATCCCTCTCTGACCTATTCCTGCAACCGTGCACGTCCCATGGCTAATCTACCTAGCCTACACATCAATGGACATTATGAGCGGTTTAGCATGGCCAATCCACCTAACCTGCATATCTTTGGACTGTGGGAGGAAACCGGAGCACCCAGAGGAAATCCACACAGACACAAGGGAGAACGAGCAAACTCCATGCAGACAGTCACCCGAGGGTGGAATCAAATCCAATCCCCTTGAGCTGTGAGGCAGCAGTGCCAACCACTGAGCCACTGTGCCGCCCTACTTGGTCATTATTAATATTCTACTGGCTAGCTACCTGTTTAAACCGTGACTGCCTCTTAATAGAGATTTGAATTTGCTCTTCAATTTCATCCTTTAATTCCAGTGAGTACTGATAGATGCACTTCTCTAGAGCAAGATGTAGACTCATGGCATGTATGTTTACAAATGAGCTAAAGGCACTTTGGAGTAAAGCATGTTCGTTGAACTTTGCGTCACTTTGACTTCAAGGTTCCAATGTTACAAGTTACACAAGGACACTTGAGAGCCCTTGCTTTCCATAGTGGGTAGAATTAACTCAATCCTATCACACACAATCCCTTTGTGAAGTTCTGGAATTGCTCCCAGTTTTATAAGTTTAGTCCAAACATACAATAAAACAGTTACTATGTTGTTATATGAACTGTGATGATCAGAAGTTTACCAAGGATATGTTGTGATTTCTAACTGCTTTTTGGCTCTCTGCAATTTACATGCTGTCAACAGTTTATCAATTGTATTGCAGATCACATTTGATTAGGAGGATGTGTTACAGCACACAAGTAGTGTTCAAACCATGCCAATGTGCAATTTGTAAAATTCTGATAGAGTCAGAAACTAGTGAAATACCAACATCTGCATGTATAGAGAAAAGGAAAATATATAAAATAATTTCTCCTTGGAATGCATTAAGTTAATCTTTAACACATGTGATATCATTAGAATGTTTACCTACCTCCCTCCCTGTGCCAGTGTTTAGTGAAGGACCTGAAGCAGTGTAGACCGGACCTTCAGATAGAAAATGGACCCTTGGCCCCAGATCCACATGGAGATGTTATCATTACCACAGAGACGAAATTGCGAGAAATCTTGCAGCAACGAGATAATGAAATAAGTATCCTTTTATGTGTATACTCAGTTTCTCGAAATGAAGGTTCAAGAAGGCAGATCACCAAGGAAAACTGGGGTGTGCAATAAATGCTGGGCAGCCAGTGTCGCCCATATTCCATAAGTGACTAAAAGAAAGAAACAAAACTGGACCAAGCACTAATGTGACCACATTGAAAGGCCCACCTCTATTCTGTAAGGTATCAGGCACAGTTCTGGAGATGAATATGAGACTCCCTAAATCTTCACTCCCCTTCCCCCCACCCAACCTTTAGACTTGACTCAGCCATCTGTTTGGCTATTTCAAAGCTTTGATGAATGCCTCGGCTACTGGTTGTCTTCATAATTAGCAACATGGCTTTAGTTGGTTCAGCTTAGGAGAGTTTGTTGACAGAGTTGTTTAGTATAACCTCATTAAAAATGCTTAGTTGATTTCCAAATGTGCTCATTGATATAATTCAACAGGAATGCTTTATACTGCTGTGTAATGGAATCTCACAAATGCTTGGCTGACTTCCAAACCCACAAACAAATTCTGCTAATCAGTAGTTGTTTATACAGCTGTCAATGGAAATTAGAGTTTGCTTATTTTGACAGACATATGAGCAGTTAAGAGCATAATGATTTTATGTGTATTGACAAGTAATGTTTGCTTCTTTTGACATCTTGTCGAAGTAGACAATAATTTTAAGTCAATTCAAATACTTTTTAATACAGTTATGAGATTCTCAAAGACTTCACAATTTTGTTAGAGGGCTCATGAGTTCTATATCCAGTGGATTTGAGTGAGTAGCTTAGGGATTGTATGGGAATACTGGGTTAAAGAATCTGAGTAGAGGATGGAAGTGGGAGGAAAAGGGAGTGTCGAAGTGAAGGTTAAGGGGCCTCATATTCATCTCCAGAACTAAGCTTGATACCTTGCTAATTGGAGGTGGGCCTTTCAACCTAGTCACGTCAGCATTGGTCCAATTTTTTTTGTGCTGAGTCTAGCATGTCTCACTTCCAGACCATTGAGATAAGTTGACAAGCATGACAGGTTAGGAAGAGGATTAATGACATTTGGAGTTACCCTTCTTGCCACCATGAGAAAATCCAGCTTCATGACTTGGTGTTTTCTGCAATTATGGTCTGGATATACAGGATTTTCTGCAGTTTTACATGACTAAGACTGAAGTTACCCTGTTTGGCTCCTCACAAATATTTCTCACAGAAGTTCCACATACCTTCTCATTCCTCTGCTACACTCATTATGATGTAACTTTGTTTACCTTTGTATACTAAGCTGATTTCAAATGTTGTATTCTACCCGTCATAAAGACTGCATGTTTTCACCTCTATAACGTGCCTGACATTTCCCTTATCAGACTACCATCAAAATCCTTAGTCACAATTTGTTTGACAAATCTTTCTCACTAGCCTGTCAAGTGTCATCCTGCCCAAATTCACATATCTCTAAATTTCCACCACCTATATCCTATCACACACATTCTCCTGGTGCCATACCATCCAAGAATTTGCCAACTTCCATTATCTTCCTCACCAGGTCAGGCAGTATCTATAGCGAATGAAAACCAGAGTTAAAGTTTTACCTTGATGACCTTTCAGCAGAACAATAATAACTCCATTCTAATATAGAGAAAATACATGATTGGCTATATCAGGAAATAGAACAATGAAAGTGCTGTTGTGATCTATGGAGTAATGGGTCTAGAGAACAGTGCACTCCTCGCATTTCAGTTGTAACAAATAAAACCTTTGACCAAATTAATGAGAGTTTCATTGTGAGAGATTATCTGGCTACAGGACACTGCCACACTCTTCAGACATTAAAGCTGTCCCAGAGGCTACAACACCAAGGAGAAAACACACTGAAGCAACGCCCTGCTGCCGCTGACCGGACCTAGAATGTCACCACCTCATCGCCACTGACGCTCCGGCCACTACCATAGCCAGGAAACTGTCCTAACTATCATGGACCAGGGCCCATCTCAACTTCCGAGGATAGAGGGACTGTCCAAGTTAACTCCTGAGACTGAGGGATCTCTTTTCCTCTGAAGTGGCAGAGGAAAAGAGCAGACACCAATTCATCAGTGCTGGAGCCATTGCTCAAGCCGCGACCACCATTGCCATGAGGAAAGGACCGCATCTGCCGCTCAACAGCTCTCCGCAATTTGTCTCCACTACCGCAGCTGCAGAAGGAAGAAAAGATGAATTTGATTCAAAAGTTAAATGAAGAAAATAAAATGTAAATAAAGGATGCGGCCGGTCATGTGAGAGGGAGCAGACAGGCTCAGGGGAGCCTGAACACTTCCTACCCTGCAGCTTTCGTCATCTTGTGAAACTTTTTTTTTGGTTATTCTTAACCATCTGCCTCATAGGAATAGGGGAAGGAGTTGTTTGGTGACTAAGGCTGAAGAATTCTAATTTCTACTTTCTAATCTTCAGGTTGTAACTAATAGCCCAAAAGTAAGTTTAAAGCATGGCGGGTCAGCTCATCTGAGTGGAACGCACATGTTTTTGTGCCATGTAGAAAGCCATGGATTCTTCACAATGGCCTAGATTATGATCCATGAGTCAAGCATTCAGAAGTGATCACGGCTTGTTAAATTTGTGTATGTGGACATACAGGCATCAAATGCAGCTCCCTCCAGGTGATGATGTAAATAATACTTGTGCAAGAACTTCTCTTACCGATTCCATCCCAACTGGCATCCTGCAACTCCTTCTGACCATTCTTTGGCACCTCTATGCCAACTATGTCAGCATGACTAATTCTGAGGAAAAAGAGGAAAAGGAGTTAGCCATTCAGCCCCTCAAGCCTGTTCCACCATTCAGTGAGAGCATGGCTGATCTGTGGCTTAACTGCATATACTTGCCTTTGGCCCATATCCATTAATACTGTTTTGAAACAAAAAATAACAGCTGATCCTGCATTCACTGTTTGTGAGAGTTCCAGATATCTACAACCTTTGTGTGGAACAGCTCTCCTCAATGGTCTGACCTAATTCTCAGACTGTGCCCTAGTCCTAGATTTTCCAAAACAGGTGGAAATAGTTTATCTTTATCCACCCTGTCTTTTCCTGTTAATATTTTGAAGTCTTCAATCTGATCACTCCTTAACCTTCTAAATTTGAGACAAGACAGGCTTAATTTGTATAATGTCTCCTTATAATGTAATCCCTGAAGTTCACATATTGTTCTTTTAAACCTATATTGTATTCCCTTCAAGGCAAGTATTTCTTTCCCAAGGTGTGTATGCCACAGTTTTGCCCATTCAGTTAGCCTACGAATATCCCTTTTTTAATTTTAGCTACATTGCCTATAATGTCACCTAGCTTTGTGTCATCAGCAAATTTGAATATATGGCCTTCTGTGCCATTATCTCAGTTGTTAATAAATAATGTGACTAGTATTGGCCCTAACACAGATCGTTGGGCACCACTGGTCACATTCTGCCAATTTGAGTACCCTCCATTTCTGTTACCTGCCACTAAACCAATTTTCCAGTCATGTCAGTAACTTTCCCTCAATTCTGTGAGCTTCTACCTGAGTGAACAGTTTCTCATGTGAGACTATGTCACATGCCATTTGGAAGTCCAAATAGACAGCATTTATAGACATTCCCCTTTCCACTACCTTAGCTACCTTTTAAAAAAAATTCAGTGAGGTTTGTCGGGCATTAACTACCTGTCATGAATCCATGCTGGCTGTCCTGATTAACTGAAAATTTTGAAGGTGTTCAGTTACCCCATCCTTTGCCAGAGGAGTAGGGATTGAGGAGGTAATGAACAAATAGTCAACATAAATGACAATGTAATTGTGACAACACTGGGAGATATAATAGTGCAATGAAATTAATTTACAAGTATAAAGAAGTATTGTAGATTTCAAAGTGTATGTCCCAGCCTGCTACACCCACGTCCCATGAATGTATGTAAGAAAATTGAAAGTAGCAACTCACTAATTCGCTAAGACTTCTTTGACAACGCCCTCCAAACCCACAGGCTGTACCATCTGGAAGACCATCAAGCAGCAGATGCATGGAAAAACCATAGCCTGCATCTTCCTTTCCAAGCCACATGTTGTTCTGACATGGAACAATATTGCCTCTCTTTCATTGTTGCTGAGTCAAAAACCTGGAACTCCTTTTGTAATATCCCTCATGTACTTCACAGCATGCTTTTTGTGCACCTAACTGCTGAGAACCTGGAGCTGGTGCTATAATGCAATCCAGGATGACAAAGAATACCCAGTTCACCGCCATCACCTGTAGCTCACCATCCACAATGACAAGGAACTAAACATCAGCTGGCAGGAGTCACCAGAGACTAGGCCATGGTATGGTATAACATCCAAGCTGTGTTACTTCTAAAGGAGACAAGGTTTACATTTAAAGGGTCAAGATGAGAAAATAGATAAAAAAACTCCACCTCCCAATAAATGTCTCAGAACAACATCTTTACGGTTCCCCTTGTCCTTCCAATTCTTGACCAAATCTCCTTGCCGTCCCAGAGTTGAAATCACTCAGCTCTCAGGATAGCCCCATTCAGGCCTGCTGGAAACAAACCCACATGGGCCTGGGCTTGAACCACCCACTCCACATGCCTGAGTCTCAGGGTTACATAACTCCAGTTGTCCGTCCCCACTACCCCATCTAATCTTGGGATTAAGTTCCTCACACACTTTCCTCCTCAGGACTCTGCCAAGACCTCCCTCCTGCTTCTATTTCAGGACTATAATCCCAGCCCACCTCCCCATCCTGGGACTACATGACTCCCATCAATCCCTGCCTCAGTTTTGGCATTGAGCAATGATACCTTTTCACACACTTTGCTCACCCCATTACTCACGCAGGCCACGGGGACTTTCCAAATTCACTTATTTTGCTGGCACTTTCCTGCTCCATTCGTACTGCAGCAAACTGGGATAGGCTTCCAGCAAATCTTCTGATTCTAGCTGGCCATTCTCCATTCAGTAATGAGAAAGAGGTAGGGGTCATGACAAGAA